TCCTTTGGAGCATCTCTGTTGTTGCCATCCTGTGGGATATTTATTTTTGCATATCTGAATAGTTTTGTTAGAGGAACTTATGCTCACGGGGATGAAACAATATTACAGGATGTACAGTAAAGTCTAATGTAGCGCTTTAGTAGTGTCAGTCCTGAAAGAACGCCTTAGGTTAAATAAAATCACATAGAAAAACACAAATTTTCAGATAATAAGTTAACTACTCCCTGGTTGACTGTAGCAAACTCCTGGCAAGTGCTTCTTAATGTTCTGACCCAATGCAAGGAAACAGTCTATATATTAATTATATATATGTATTAGGGATGTAAGAAAATATCGATATGGCAATATATCGAGATTTTTTTCCAGCAATATTATATCAATGTTCAAAAGCCGTGTATCGGAAATATCGATATGGCAATATATTGTGATTTTTTTTCCTGCGATTATTACATCGATATTCAAAAGCCGTGTATCTAATTCTTGAAAGAATTTACATGCAAACATTTGTGTATTTTCTTTTCGTTTTGTGCAATTCAATTGCCACCCGCTAGTTGGCAGCAGTGTGCAATGGGTTTTGTTTCCACCATTGAAATGTAAAACCCTCCATCATGGTTCAGATACCTCATGTTAAACATGTTACATATCAGTTTGGACTGTTTATTGAACATTCTTACAATAAATTCAGTAAAAAAATTGCTTGTGATGTCTGACTGAATGTATCACAATATATCGTGATACATCGTATTGTCTCCCCTGTATCGTGATATGTATCATATCGCCAGAATTTCAAAAATACACATCCCTGATATGTATCCCTTTTGTATATGTATCGCCGTCAGCTCTGAGGATGTTTGCAGCTGCAAACGAAGCGTCAGAAATGTAAAGAAAAAACCTTATCTGTGTTTAAAAAACACAGATAAGGTTTTCACTCCTCCAGTCACGGGGGAATTAAATGTTCATATTTTTAGAGTTTTTTCGCGAGGTATTCTTCAAGCTTCTCCGTGTCTGCCGCTAGTTATCCTCGGCTCTCTTTATGTTTTTGAGGGCGCAATGGCGGCAGTGTAGACGACAGCGGTGCCCTGACCAATCACAAGCTTGCGTTCTCCGTCTCGATGGACAGATGTTTAGAAAAGAGAGCTCGACTCCATCCGTCCGCTCTCCAGCAGGCTCGCAAGGACGGATAATGGCGTTGCATGTCTCCACACTGACACAGACGCAGAAGCATGACTCAGTCTTTATGCCGAATTCCAGTACTCACTCCAGAGTCCATTGTGAGTCTGTGGGCCACTTGAGAAAACCCAAAACCTCTGGGAAAAGTCAGAATTGGCAACTGCTAACCCCAGCACTGCAAGTCCAAACTTAGCGGCCGATCTCAGGTAGATGAGCGGCCAGCGGCTGCTTCCACTGCACCCTCTCTCTCCAAGTCTTTCTCGTGCCTATTCCTCTCTCTTCTATATAACAATACCTTTACCCCTAAACAGCCGCATGTATTGAAACATAACATTTCTTTTACTAACTGAGACAGAAAACAGCACAAGTTAGCTTTAGATTAGAAATAAATTAATGAAATCATCATGTTTTAAAACATATTAATTCACATTTTATGAAATATCTTAAAACAACCACATTTTATTTTAACTATTGAATAATTATTTAATGATTTGACCAAGGGTTACACCAACAACAGATCAGTTAATTCTGGCAGGCTCTGCTGCAGAAAAAAAAACATTTGAGAGCTTGTTAAAGAAGGAATCTGGTGAAATTGGTGCTCTGTCTTGTATGAACCACCAGTGATGTATTAGATTAGTTTCTAGTTTGTTGGCAGTCATCCTCCAGTGGACTCATTAGCTGGGATGACAAGGCCAAGATTTAAAAATCAGCCAAACAAAGACATAATTAGGTACCAGGAACCATGGTTAGATTTCTCGGGGCCTTCAGATTTCCTTCAGTATTAAAACATAAAGTGTTGCTATTGCAGAATAAAGCAACTTTCAAAGAAATACTTTGAATCTGTTACTGTAAAATATGCTGTGTGTGTTGGATAATGCTGTAAGTAAATCGATTTGATATGATGGAATATGATTAGATAAAGTATGATTTGATGCAATGTGGTAGGGTAGGATGCAATGCCATACCATACCATCTGATACCACAGGATATTATTATACTAATGATATGATACAATACAACATTTGTCACTGGTTCTGTTCATTACCTTTATGGACAGAATTTCTAGGCGCAGCCGTGGTGTGGAGTGTGTCGAGTTTGGTGGCAGGAGAATCTTGTCTCTGCTTTTTGCGGATGATGTGGTCCTCCTAGCTTCATCCAGCTCTGACCTTCAGCTCTTGCTGGGTAGGTTCGCGGCCGACTGTGAAGCGGCTGGGATGAGGATCAGCACCTCCAAATCTGAGACCATGGTTCTTGACCGAAAAAGGGTGGCTTGCCAACGCCGGGTCGGGGGAGAGGTCCTACCTCAAGTGGAGGAGTTTAAGTATCTCGGGGTCTTGTTCACGAGTGAGGGTAGGAGGGATCGGGAGATCGACAGGCGGATTGGTTCGGCGTCTGCAGTGATGCGGACGCTGAGCCGATCTGTCATGGTGAAGAGGGAGCTGAGCCAGAAAGCCAGGCTCTCGATTTACCGGTCAATCTACGTCCCAAGCCTCACCTATGGTCATGAGCTTTGGGTAATGACCGAAAGAACGAGATCACGGATACAAGCGACCGAAATGAGTTTCCTCCGTAGGGTGGCCGGGTTCAGCCTTAGAGATAGGGTGAGGAGCTCGGACATTCAGGAGAGACTCGGAGTAGAACCGCTGCTCCTCTGGATCGAAAGGAGTCAGTTGAGGTGGTTTGGGCATCTGGTCAGGATGCCTCCTGGACGCCTCCCTGGGGAGGTGTTTCGGGCATGTCCTGCCAGCAGGAGGCCCCCGGGTCGACCCAGGACACGTTGGAGAGGTTACATCTCCAATCTGGTCCGGGAACGCCTTGGGGTCCTGCCGGAGGAGCTGGTGGAGAAGGCCGGGGAGAGGACAGTCTGGAGCTCCCTAGTTGGGACGCTGCCCCCGCGACCCAGACCCGGATAAGCGGAGGAGGACGACGACAACGACAATACAATATATGAAACTTTACCATGTGATGTAGGATAGGATAGGATAGGATAGGATAGGATAGGGTGGGGTGGGGTGGGATTTGGCATTAAGTAATCAGCACTTACACTTTATTACAACTACTAGACACAAAATCATTACAGCAAAGATTAGGTTTGAACCTCAAACTGACCAGACTTGTCACAACCTTTAGTGTGATCTTTCACTTGTGAAATTAATACTTTGGAGTCAAATGTGACTCATAAAAAATGTCTATCATTGTTTACTGCTTGCCATGTATCCAAATTGCAGATATGAATAGTATGAAAGTTTATTTGGTATCTAAAAGGATAATTTAGGTCTCTAAACTGTAAAGCAGATTTTTATCTCCAGATAAGCACGCTACAATTGTTTTTTTTTTTGTTCTCATTGTGTGAAAAAAAAACAAAGTTATCATTCTCAAGATAATGAAATACTATCAGAGAAACAAGTAGTGTTTTCTCTGATAATCAGATAATTTCAATGCAAATGGTGCAATGCTCATTTTCATTTAGTATCTCTGTCATTACACTGATGAGACGTTTTCAGTCTGAATCAGCTGCTTTGCTTCACTTTAATTTAAAATCATTCTTGTTAGCAAAAGTCAGTCCAAATGTTACATATCTAAGCATTTCTTCTATGGAAACACATTGTCCCATTCTCAGAAGTACTAGAATGTATTTGTTTTAATTTTTTTGTAAACATAGCGTAGTAGAAGATTTGTTTTTACCTTTTTTGATGGCAGGTTTCGGCTAACGCTGTAGCCTTCCTCAGACCACTGCTGATGTTGGTGGGATGACTTCCTTCTCCGTTTATCCCTTCATCGGCCGTAACAGACCACTGCACAAGGAAAATCATAATGGACTGGGACAGAACGCGGATCATTAACACAGAACAACAAAAATACAAAAGATGGATTAAGGACGTGATAGAAATTAGGAGACGTGGTCCCAGAAACATGAACAGACACGATTTTACACATTGGATCACTCATGGGACCTTGCCATCGGCGAGGAGGGCGGGGGCAGTAGAGGGCAACATCGTCCTCTGCTGGCCGTAGATAAACGGAGAAGGAAGTAACGCCACCATCATCAGCAGTGCTCTGAGGAAGACCACAGCGTTAGCCGAAACCTGTCAGCAAAAACGGTAAAAACAAATCTTTACTACTCTGTTTAGAAAATAATTTAAACAATAGAAGGATTGCACAGAATGAACGTACAAAAGATAGACAAACTGGAATGTGCTCAGATTGTTTAATACATTTCAATAATCACAATCCAGACACATAAGGGTTAATGAGGCTGTTTTTCTTTGGTAAGCAGTGCCCAGATTACATTACAGAACCAGGACTTCTGTGCATCGAAGTGTATGACACAAGACTATGAACTGTGTAGTTTTGAGAACCTTGCATTGAGTTTTCTTTTTTATTCAACAGTGGGAGAGAGAAGTAAACAGAAATGAATAGTGAGTGGGCGGGGAAGTAGGGTAGACCTGTCTAGCAGGATCGGTCTCTAACCACCTGTCTTTGCCATGGCAGAAGGTGGATTATTACCCACCTAGTGCATCTCAGTGGAAAAGAAAGAGAAAATCTGCTAACTTGTATGATTTTGAAGCCTTTGCTGGGAGATAGCTATGATTAGTGCTGTAGACCTAAAAAAAAGAGCTGTCTCATGTACATACCATCTGAGTTCAAACCACTTTGTGTTGCAAATCTGAAATGATGTTCTTTCGGGTGAAGCTTGAATCACTTTGCAGGGTGACCTTTTTTCAAGCACTTTTCAAATATTTTCTCTAAACAGACATCACGTTTCCTGTTCACAGCTGTGCAGGTGCAGATCAATCTTCCAAATCTTAATCGACTTTCCCCTTCCACAGCTTTAGCGCTGCCTATCAGTGTATCTACTACTCCCCAGAGCACACAGCCAAAGCTCAGGAGGTACTCAGCACCATGGGTCTTCTCCAGCCGCTCATCACTGGCTCAGCTGACCAGCTCCTCCTGGCTGCACATGAACACTCCTCCTCTGGAATGAGGGATGCACTCAAGAGCCTCTCAGACAAGGTGAGACAGCACCTACACCTTTCATGTCCCTCCACTTGCATCTCAGCCAGCCCTTCATTCCTCTTGG